TTGACTTTGTAAAACTGAAGGCGGATCTCGTTGGACTATACAGCTCACCAGTGATCAGGGATACATGTAAATCTCCTGCACAGCTTCTTAGCTTTTTGGCACAGAAAGATCTCATTGAGACTGTTCCTCAGGCCACAAAGTTGCTCCAGCTTGTGCTCACTGTTCCAGCTATGGCAGTATCGGTGGAGCGGTCATTCTCAGCACTGAAGAGACTAAAAACATACAGTCGGAACAAGACCAATCAAGGACAACTTGCTTCACTGGCTGTGATCGCCATTGAAACAGAGAGACTTTTAAAATTAAAAGAAGATAACGAAAAATTCTACCAGCAAGTCATAGATGCTTTTGTTCAGAAAGAGCAGCGGATGGACTTCAGTTATAAGTAATGGTAAGACCCATAATAACTTCATTTTTTTCCATTAAAAGGGTTTTTTTGTGTGCTACAGTATGTGTAAAGAATGCTGATATGAGACCTAAACATAATCCTTTAACTGCTGCCAATCAAATATTGGATAAGATAATTTGTAGGATTTTAATCAGATTTGTAAATCTGATTGTGATGACATCAGTGCCTCACCAGCCATAAACCTCACTGCACATCACTGCTATGGACTTCATGCTGGAGGAGTGGAAGCTGCTAGATTCTGGTCAGAAAATCTTGTGCAGAGAAGTCATGTGGGAAATTTCGAAGAATATGGCTGCTATGGGTAAGGCCAGGCTTTGCTCTGGCTTCCATTCATTGGGAGAGGGTTTTTTTCAGTGGAGGATGACTAGCTATTTACACTCAGATGGTTAAGGTGATAATCCCTCCTTAAGGCCTTGTCAGAAATACTCACCATAGAGTGTCCTAGGTGTACCGTGGCAGTGGCTGAACATCTTGACCAATCAGCACCAGATTTAATATATTTCTTGGATGAAAAAAATCTTTGTATAGCATCAGGATGTCCTAGATAACCATTTGCAGCCTTCACATCCTAGCTAGACACATAGCTGGTACCAAACCTAGAATGATTTTCAGATGGGAGAGACACACGCCCCTTTCACCATTCTAATTGTAACAGAAATATTTCTTTTCTTTTTTCCAAGGAGATGGAAAAAAGTTGGAAAATGAGAATAGCAAGCAATCAAGCTTAAAGACAGAGAAGCATGATGATGAAGAGGTGATATATTGCCATGAAAAGGACACAAGAAGAGAAGAGAGAAACCACTCAGAGAATGGAAAGGAGAAGTCATCCACTTCTGTTCCTGTTGGCATCCCTAGCTTCCTATCCCAGCAAGACCTGAAAGGACAGGAAAAGGAAAAATATGAGATAAAAGAGAAAAATTGATTTGATTTATATGAATGTGGTATAAACCGGACTGAAGGGGAAATGTATGAAAAATATGTCAGTAATTTGTTCTCTCTTACTTTACTTTACACACTGGAGAGAAACCGTATAAATGCATTAAATGTGGAAAGACCTTTAGTCAGAAAGAAAAACTTAATTCTCATGAAAGGATGCATGCTGGGGAGCCACTGGACTCTGCCAGTTTTATTCTTCTGGAGTGCTGAGCACCAAGTGTGAAAAGAGCTTTAATGACTTCAGCACCTTTGATTGCCACAGTAGCATCCGCACAAGAGAAAATTGGAAGTACATGAGAAGTGGAGCCACTATCACTGAGTGTGCTTTCTTCTCATAAAAAAAATCCACACCGGAAAAATAAATGAAATCTGTGGATTGGGGTTTATTATCAACAATCAACTTAATCCAAGGATCCAGATATGACAGGAAACTTAATAATTCATGGAATGTGCAGAGATCTTTGGTTTGTATTGGAATCTTATTTACCTTCCACGAAGCTATATAGGAGAAACTGTATAAGCATTGGAATTTGAAAATTGCTGATGGTGGATCAATGACCTTACTTATCATAGGACAGTGATGGCGAACCTTTTCAGCACCGAGTGCCGAAAAGATCGCACAGCAACAGCGTGTGCGTGTTCATCAAGGCCATGCTCTGGGAAATCCAAACTTCTGGGTTCTAGCGCACATGCACAGCCAACAATCAGCTGGCCAGCACACCTGCGCAAGCCGGTTTTCATGACTGCCACACACACAAACTACAGCTGATTGTTGTTCATGTATGCCAACCAAAAAGCCAGAAGACAAACAGGCAAGGCCATGCATGCTGGGTGACATGGTTTCGCATGCCACTTTGGCCATGCGTGCCATAGGTTTGCCATCACAGGCAATAGCAATAGCAGTTAGACTTATATACCGCTTCATAGGGCTTTCAGCCCTCTCTAAGCGGTTTACACAGTTGGCATATTGCGCCCACAATCCGGGTCCTCATTTTACCCACCTCGGAAGGATGGAAGGCTGAGTCAACCNATATTGGAAGCAGATAACATCTTGAATGGAAAAGTCAAAGAGTCAACACAAAAGGAATATCTCAGGAGGGTCTGCAAAATATTAAAGTCAAAGCTGAATGCTGGAAACATAATTAAAGCCATTAATACTTGGGCAGTTCCAGTAACATGCTACCCAGCTGGAATAATCAACTGAACTGAGGCTGAACTGAAATACCTGGACCAGAAAACGCATAAATTTTTGACTATGTACTACACTTTGCAACCACGAAGTGACACTGACAGGTGCTACCTGCCAAGAAGAATAGGGGACAGAGGGCTATTGCAAATCCATCAAACTGTAGAAGAAAAACTAAGTTTGAATGATTATGTGAACCAAAGTACGGAAAGATTACTGCAGGTTGTGAAAATGGAGAACATTATAAAAACAACAGAAACAAAGGCAGAATATAAGGGAAAAACAGCTGGATGACAGATTAAATGGATGGAAAAGCAAAGCTTTGCATGGACAGCACTTGAAAAAAAATTGAAGGGAAATGCGATAACAACTTGACATGGGCATGGCTTAAGAGAGGAATCATCAAGAAAGAAACAGAAGGTCTAATACTCGCTGCTCAAGAACAAGTATTACAAACTAATGCCATGAAAGCAGATACAAAATCCACTGACAATCCAAACTGCCAATTTTGCAATGACAAAGTTGAAACTGTTTCATATTTAATATGTGAGTGCAGCAAAATCATGCAAACTGATTACAAAGCTAGACATGATCAAGTTGCTAACTTAATTCACTAGTCACTATTTAAGAAATATGCCCTACCTGTATCCGAAAAGCCATGGGAACATAAAGTGGAAAAAGTTACCAAAAATGAGACAGTGAAGATCCTGTCGGACTTTCGAATACAGACGGATTGTCATTTGGAACGCAAGATGCCAGTTATCATGGTTGTTGAGGGCCAAAATGTAGTTTATTGATATCGCTGTAACCAGGAGATGCCAGAGTCAAGGAAAAAGAACTGGGGGAAAAAATCACAAAATATTGCGACCTGGCTATCAAAACTACACGGTTATGGATGAAACATGTAGCAGTGATACCCTTTGTCATTGTGGCACTTGGTACCATGTCCAAAAATTTTACAAAATACAAAAATAAATTGCAGCTTCCTGCAATAACACCAGCAGAACTGCAAAAACTGTGCTATTCAGAACATCATATATTTTAAGAAGATACTTGGTTGATACCTAGGACGCTGGGAAAAAATTGTATCAACCATTAATACCAGTCAATGGTATTTGTGACACATTTTTAAATGTTCAGTTGACTGACTTTCATGTTTAATGAATAAAAGACAATAATACTAATGAAAAACAACAGTAGTGGCTCCCTGAACATTTCTCCATTGCGGAAATACTTGTGATTTTCATAGTAGTACTATTAGTTTTTGCAACAGGACTCCTTAAGTCCAAAATCTATCTACAATGACCAGTATTTCCCCAGAAATAGCAGCAACATAGAGAGCAGAGTCCCCAAGTTCTCTTTCTTTGAATTAGGTTGGGGAAATACAGGTACAGAGGCAAAAAGTAAGGCAAGCAAACTAATATGGTTCTGGTTCTATGAAAGTAGATCATAAACCAAATTTTCCTGTCAGGTGCAGGAGCCGTTCATGGGGGAGATCTCAGCAGAGCTCCAGGAAAACTCCATCCAGCCCTTCTCAGGAGCTGCTTTTCAGGAAGATCCAACTGGGGCCTCCTTGCCAGGTAAGTGCAGGTTTCTTCTGAGAGCAGTGGAGTACAAACTCCATCTGTTCATAAGCTGCTTTTACCATCAAATGCTGAATCTGTGACCATTTCAACTCAATGTTCCCCCAGAATGTCCTGCTGAATCACACTCAGCATTAAAGATGGTTTTTGAGTTGCAAACAAGATAAAAATTCTAGGCTTCATTGTATTAGACAATTTGGAAATTAGAAATTATTAGAAGATTTATTTGGTGGAAAGAGTTTAATACTTAATATTTTTCAGAAGACTGCAGAAAACTAGTTAGATACAAGGCCCATGAATTTAAACAATAGGAATAAGATGTTTAAAAACCACATGAATCCCATGAGGATAAAGCCCTAAGTGAATGCTAAATAGCTGCAACAGAAAGACTGTTAGCTAAGTGACTTGGGATCTGTACGCTCATTGACAACATTTTAAAATAGGTTTAAGAAAAATTTATAGTGGATGTGTCATGTTTACTTAGGGGTTTGCTAGCCAAGGGGCTGCTCCCCGAAACCTCCTTGCTGAGTTATTCTGGTCCAGTGGGAAGCTCTGCAATGGTAGCTGTGTTGCCATTCTATAGCCTGGATGCACCTAAGCCATGATTTGTGGAACTATGGTTTCCCAGCCTCAAAGATTACATGGAGATGCAGGCATAAATCTGTTTCTGTTAAGAAAATATCCATTTAGTTCCTTGTGAACTTCTGTTCCTATTTTGTGCGGTGATTGACAAAACATATAAGTCTTTCCTGGTCATGTCTGCCAAGCAACATCTTCTTTCTCTATCAGGGATCTGGTCCATTTGAGAAGGTGACTGTGTACCAGTGTCGTGCAGTCGGGTGGCAGGGGAGGCATAGCCTCACCACTGTCAATCATGAAAACGAAAAAAAAAATGTAAACGGGAAAAGGCAAGTGCTGAGGTTAGGCTAGCTAGCTGCTGCCACACTGTGAATGACTGCCTGTTTTAAAAAGCCTCTTAAAAAGCACCCTCTACTATGAGGCAGGAGAACTGCATGCCTCATCTAGTCTGACTTTTTAGGCGCTCGAGCAGAGTTGAGCAAAGGTTAAACGCCTAAAAAATCCCGAGATAGTTGAGACATGCAGTTCTCCTGCCTCATAGTAGAGGGAGCATTTTTTAGAGGTTTCAACTCTGTCATTCNGCAGTCAGCTGAAGTGGCTGCAGTACTGCACCCTAATCACTGCGCCACCTCGGCTCGGTCATAGGATGATGCCTTTCTTGAGGAAAATATTTTCGTTCCCTGTCTGAGATAATTCATGAAATTCAAACCTATGTTCATCTCCCACCTCTTTGAGGATGTAAGAAACTCCTGAGGTTAAGGGGGTGGCCAGAATTCTTTCTCTACCCATCCTTTCTTTTCTCTAGGGCAGAAATTTGAGGCCCTTTTGCCATTTTTACTGATGTTCTTCAAAGTATTCATGCTCATTGGCAATATAGCAAACCTTATAAAAGTCTTATATGGCTCTGTCATACCACATATAACTTTACATTGTTGTTTCTCTCTAGCCTCACCTAATGGCTGGAGAGACAAATATGCCCCAAACTATATTGTCTGAAGCTGACTCTGCCCATTTACCAATCATCACAAACCAAGTGCATGCTGTGAAGCCAGACTCCATTTCCTTTGGCATTTGGAGAAGTCAGAAGCAGCCATTTTAATCTTTGGCACATGGTCATCCAAGAACAAACTTGATAGAGATGGATGAGAGAGACAGAGAGAAAAAAAGATGAGAGATGAAGGAGAAGGAGAGGGAGAAAGAAAGAGATGAGAGACACAGAGATGAAAGAGAGAGATACCTGTTTCCCATAGAAAAGAAAACACTGGTAGCCACAAAATCTGTATAGGCATGGCTGGGAGGGGGAGGTGTCATGTGACTGGGTGGGAGTGAGTGACATCGAGTTGGCCATACCCACCCAGGTTTTATGGCTCCTGTGTTTTGTTTTCTGTGGGAAACAGTTCCAAAAGACTCTTTGAGTGTTTAGGGTTACAGACCCCTACTCTAGACAGTCAAGCACCACTGAAGACACCATGTCACAGATTTGGATGTCTTCATACAAGACAAGGTCTCAAGTCTCTAATTCTTCCAGACCGTCATCAGCACATGTTTGTCAGTGCAAAGTCTGAAGTAGCAAAAGCAAGAGCAGCCTTTGCTGAGCAAAAAATAGAAATAAAAAAGAGAAATCCATGTTAGAAGTGAGGCTAGCGTGGATAAACATAGAGAAGAAGGTCACAGAGGCAACAGTGGAAGTCAACGCTTTACAGAGAGCCGTGTATTCTGACAATGAATGCATTAAACAGCAATGTCCTTGAGCCAGAAGCTGAAACCCCAAATCCTCTGCAATGCACCTGAGACTACATCTATCAGCACTCCAGGCCAAGCAGCAACAATCTTCGATAGATAAAGACAACCTTTGAGAAACAAGCCAAAGATATTACTCAGCACCACTACAGGCTAACGACAAGCCCCAAGCCTACAAACAAGAAAGTATCACCTGTGATAGCATACTCAGCTGTGATAGCAGCCCACTCATACTCAAGATACTTGACCATGCAATTTATCCCACAGGATCAGCTTTCATGCCAGAGCAGCATAGAAGGAACCAGCTGAAACCAGAGACTCCCAAAATGTATGACTACCACAGCAATGCACAATTGGTTAATCAAACCACCATACCTTGCCAAGTTCCTTGTATGTCGTGAGCTAGTAACACAAGGACTTGAAAGGTTTGATGATTGTCCTGAGAGCTATAGAGCTGGGCAATTGTCCTTCCAAAATGCCACCAGAAGCCTGGATCTGCCATATAGTGGGGAGATAGCTTTTAAGAATCAAATGGCTTGGAAGCAAATCTGAGCATGCAAAGCAAATCAGGACAATAAATATAAATTACCCTGAAACAGGCTTTAAGTAATCTGGGACAGAATTGTTAAGTGCTATTGCTCAGCAGAAGCAGTGGAGAATGCCAGAATTCCCAACAGAGCTTATTGGAAACTTAGGGAACTTAGCAACTTACTAATGGAACTTCAAGTAGCTAAGCTGGGACTTGCAAGGACTTGCATTCCTTGACACAGCCAGAGGTGTCAACCCCACTGTACAAAAATTACCCTATAATTTACAGGAGCATTGGATTGCACATGGCTCCAAACACAAAAGAGAGCACAATGTTCCATTTCCCTCCTCCTGTTTTTGTGGAGTTTGTGTGCCAATAAGCTAAAACAAGAAATGATCCTAGCTTTGACTTCACATTGTCATGTGTTGCTCCTTCAGAATGTAATCCTTGCAAGCCTCCAGTCCAAAAAACGAATGTGACTCCTCCAGATTCCCTTTGCAGATCTGCCAGCTCCTCTCACATAGAATCGGAGATCAGAGATCCTGGAAAGGTGTGTCCTCTATATCAGAAGCCACATCCTCTCCTGAAATGCAGAGCCTTCAGGGAGAAGTCCATAGAACCCAAAGCTTTCCTGAAAGCGAACAATATTTGCTACATCAGTCTCCCACCTTGCCAACTACTGTTTAAAACACACAGTGACAGCGAGCACGGCAGGGAAGAAGAACACACTGCTACAACTGCAGCAGAAATCAATACAAAATGCACAGAATGCCAAGAGACTGCAGATGGCAAGTCCTGCTCCAAAATCTGTTTAGTCAGAGTCTACCCAGCAGGCTAAAGAGACAAAGCCATTAAGCTTTACACTATTCTAGACGACCAGTAACAGGTCTTTGGCCAGCTTAGCCTTCTTTGATGCCTTTGGCATTAAAGGCCCCAACATTCCATATTCCTTAAAAACTTGCACAGGAATTGTGGAGATGGTGGGGAAATGACTGTCTGACTACCAAGTCGAGTCGGTAGATAGGAAAACATGCCTGACTTTACCAACTCTTATCGAATGCAACCAGATCCCTGACCATAGATCTGAAATCCCTACACCAGATGCAGCGATTCATCACCCACATTTGAACCACATCTTGCATCTGATACCAGAGCTCAGTCCTAAGGCTCAGATAGTCTGCCTCCTAGGGAAAGATATTTTACGAGTCCACAAGGTGAGATCTTGGATCAATGGGTCATTATAGGAATGTGATGGCAAACCTATAGCATGCATGCTCTCAATTCCTGTGCATGTCTTTTCACTTTTCACTAATTTTAAATGTGTGTGTCTGTGGGGTGGTGGGAGTGGAGCTCTTCTAGAGAAGAGATACGGCAATCACTGTCTATTTTCATGGCAGCAAGAAGACTCGGGAAGAACTCCGCTACACGCACATACACACTCATGTATTTACACTTAGTGAAAAGTGAAAACTCACGCACAGGAATCAAGAGGATTTCTTCCCAATTCTACCTATACTTTGGCACTTGCAGCCCAGTGCCCCAAGACACACAGTAACCACAGCGCCCCCACACTCGTGGCAATACTAGTATTAGTGGGGGGGCGCACATATGCATGCACGGAGCAGCCACTCAGGCGGCGTGGAGGCCAACAGGGAGCTGCCTGGTAGTGGGCTACAGCCCACAGGTTGGGGACCCCTACTGTAATCCATGTGCAGGTCTTTCTATCTTGAAGGAGTGGGGTGTGCTTCAAATGATTTGTTTCCCATCACCATATGAGAAGAGCTCTAGGTAGAATATTTTATGATTGTGACAGTGCTGGCCAGCCAGGAAAAAAAAAAAACTTATTGTGGCTTTTAATCTGCAACACAGTCAATGGGGAAAGCAAGATCCTTCTAGGAAGTACACATCTATTGTTTGAACTCCTTGACGAGGCATGTGAACCCAGGAGTGCACAGGAAATTGGGGGGGGGGGGGAAATTGCTGCATTTTCTGAGGTGCAGAAGGCCCGAGGAAGCCAACAGCCATTTCTCTCCTCAAAACTGAAGAAGGGAGCGTGGAGGAGCTGGAGAAGCACCCTGGATTGCCTTGAACTTCTGGCCATCCTCGAGCAGCAAAGGCAAGATGCTGGATCTAACCGTGCTGGAGCAGCTGTTGGCCCTCCTGCCCTTGGAGATGGAGGGCTGGGTGAGGGAGTGCGGAGCCATTATTCAATCTGCCTTTGGATTATGGATTTCCCGTCTGGCCACTCTAAAAGGGTCAAATTAGGTAATCATATCTCTTCAAACTTTATTCTTAACACTTGTACACCGTAGGGTTGCGTATTGAGTCCCTCACTCTATACATGTGATGGCGAATCTATGGCACGTGTGCCATAGAGGCATTGCGCAGGGGCATTAAATTATGGGGGTGGGCACACAAGCGTGCCTACGTGTGTACTTTTGGCACCCAAGGTGAAGATGGTTCGCCATTACTGCTCTATACTCTTTATGTGCATGACTGCATTCCCACTCACACTAGTAATACTAAATTTGCAGATGATACAATAGTAGTCGGACTCATCTCTGGGGGTGGGTTGGATGAGTCTGCCTATCGACATGAGATGGACTGGTTGCTTTTGTGGTGTAGTGACAATAACTTGGTCCTTAACACCAATAAGACCAAGGAGCTTATAGTGGTCTGTAAAAGGAATAGATGAGACATCCAACCACCCTTGCTTATCAATGGAGATCGAGTGGAGCAAGTGGCCAGTTTTAAGTTTCTGGGTGTTATCATAACAGAGGACCTGACCTGGGGCACTCGCATGGCAGCACTGGTCAAAGGAGCCCAGCAGAGAATATACGACCTGAGACTTCTCAGGAAACAGCAACTGAATGAAAAACTGCTGGTGACTCACCTTTTACCCTGCACCATAGAGAGTATTTTAACTTACTCCACCTGTGTATGGTTTGCCAATTGCACAGTGGCAGATAGGACAGTACTCCAAACGGTTGCCCAGATAATCATTGGTTGCCCTCTGCCATCTTTGGAAGAACTTTATCGTTGTACAATGTGCAATGAGAGTAAAGTAAAGTAAACGAAGCTGTTCCC